CTTGCCAGGCCTACAGTTCTCCTTTATCTTAGTATTCTGTGAGTGAATAAGGCTGGCTAGAAGCCAGATGGAGAAGTTAGCTTGTTGTCTAGGTTTCCTTCTGTCTCTTTATACCACAGTACTGTTAGACATCTAGATAATCATGTTTTCTCCCTTCTTGAAACTTCCTATTCAGAAAATACCTGAAGGGGAAAAAAAAACATACTCTCAGAGCAGTATAAATAAATAATAAAATGATAGTAACTTCCTTCAGGGTCCAAATCTTATTGGTTTCAAGGCCCAGGAATAAAGTTATAAATGTGGATTTCCAGGGATTGGTGAGCACAATATAGTAGGTTTGGGGTGAGAAGCATTGCTGGCACCAGCTTATAGGCAAATGTGTGGTCTCCTTGTTATCCTGGCTCTTGCTCTGAGCTTCTTGCTTATTTTCATTCTTCTAAGTGGGTCTTCCTCTTTCTCATAGGCTAGGTTTCATTTCTGTTTTTGAAAGGATGTGCCATGGTGAATCAGAGGCTTTAAGCCTTTCTTCCAGGAGGGATGTCTAATGCTAAGGGCCTTTGCTTGTATTACGATGAATTGAAACCAAAGGTTTTGGCTAGTTTAATGTTAGCATCATCTAGGTAAATCACATAGAAGTTAATTTTTCTACCATGAGTGGGAGTTGCTTGAAATGTTGTTTTAATTGTTTCATTTCTCCAATCTATTTTTGTTTCTGCAGATAGTCTGAAACTCGTTTTGTTGCTTAAACCTACCAACTCAGAATGGTCTCACTTGACAGGCACATCAGTCAAATTTGTCTCACACCAGGATGGGATTAGTTCATCTCTCCCTGCCGTTGTGTACCCTCCTCAAAGTGGTGGGCTCTGTGGAAGAGAATAAATGGCCTTGTCAGTTGTATGAGTCCTACTCTTTAGAAAGGACTCCTTTGATGTGAACTTCCATACAAGCTCAAGGTCTCAAGGCCTCTTTATCTTAATTTTAGGAATGGCAAGTCTTTTTTTATTTTAATTTTTATTTATTGATTTGAGAGAGAGGAGAGAGATCAATTTGTTGTTCTACTTATTTATGCATTCATTTGTTGATTGCTTTTCAAAAAAATTTTTTTCTTTATTGATTTTAGAGAAGAGGAAAAGAGGAAGAGAGAGATAGAAACATCAATAAGCGAGAACATCAGTTCTCCTGCATGCCCCCAACTGGGCATGGGGCCCACAACCTGGTCATGTGCCCTGACTGGGAATTGAACTGGTGACCTCTTGGTGAATGGGTCAGTGCTCAACCACTGAGCCACACCTGCTGGACTTATTGGTTGATTCTTGTATGTGCCTTGATCAGGGATTGAATTAGCAACCGTGGCCTATGGGACAATGTTGTACCCAACTGAGCTACCTGGCTAGGCCCAGAATGGCAAGTCTTTAGATGAGATGGTAGGGCCATAATTACTCAAGGGATCAGAAGAGATCTGCCCAACAGCCCCCACTCTCCATCCTGACCATGGGCTTGACATGTTACATGTCACACAGTACCACAGGCTGCAAGAACAGAAATGGGATGTATCTTTCACCTTTTTCTGGCTTCAGATCTAGAGCTGGGGCTTTAAATCTTTAGGCTTAAAATATAGTCTCTAAAAGTGAATAAGTAGTTAATTTTGAGGCCTATGTTTAAAACATATTCCTGAGATCTTCTTTTTCCAATCTTTTAATACCTATTTCTGATAATTAGTACCCTTCACCTCAGGGCTATATAGCAATATAATTTAGTCTTCCTTGTTACTCTTGCCTCTAATCATAACCTTGTCTGAACCAAACATTTTTGGCCGTTTAAATTGAACCTGAAGTTAAGGTTTCTTTATCTTTGGTTATTACTAAGCCTGATTTATGGAAAGAATAACTGACTTTGAAAGATTTGATTTCTTAGAATCAGTCATGTTCTTTATAAATTTAATTGAAGGTTCTTAACTTTGTTGTGAATGATGACAATTTTCTTCTTTACTAGAGGAACAAAACAAGTTATAACATGGACTTCCTTTTAGTTACAACTAAAGATTGAGGTATGAAGTGTGGTTCTCATTTCCTTTACTTATTGTAGCAGGTTCTTTTCAAATCCTGAGAAACAGAAAAGCCCATTGGATTTATTATAACATGCCTCAAAAAGGTAGATTAATCATGCTTAAAATTTTAGATATGTGAAATAAAATTGTGACTGAAGCAATGTGAACAAGCAGAACAAATAAAAGGTAAACCATTTACACACAATTCAATATTCTCTTCCCCCCGGAACTGCAGATCATCTGTTACTGTTTTTACAGTTCAGATGGGCTTCATGTCTGACCCTTTTAGAAATTCTATGATTCTAACATATTAAAAATTCTGTACCCTGACACATTGTGTATATAAAACTGATAAAAATAAAATATACATTACAGTGATATTTTTGCTGCACTATGCATGGTTTAACTCAGCAGGTGATTTTTGAGTAAGGCTCCAGGTCATCTTCTGAAATTTATTCCCAATAGGAAACATCATATAACTGTACTAGTTTTCAGCTCAATCATTTACCCTACCTAGTAATTCTGTTTTAAGCTCTTCCCTAAATCAGTGTGAATACATGTGAACCATATATGAATGCTTGGGTGAGTATATAAAGTGGTAGGAGACATGGTTTATTTTCAAGTAGCTTACCCTATAGTTTTATGCAGGGATAATGTTTAAAACATATAACAATTAGTAAAGCATAGGCAACAACCAATTAGAATGAAGGTCTCTGATAAGAGTTGGGTCCTATAGGTTTCCTTCTTAGCCAGGCATTAACCCTTTAGGTCCTGTAATGTGGGAAGTCTGGGGAATCCTAAAAGAAGGGGCTGGTACAAGGGTGGGACTTTTGGGGCAATTCAATTTGGAGCTGCAGCTGTTGACTAACTTGTATAGAGTATTTTAATATTTGATCAATCAGTTCAGCTGTACCTGTACCAGCTAAACAGTAGCTCTGTAAGTACATAACTAAAAATCAGTGTGGATGTCCTAAAATATAAAGAATGTAAGTGCTATATCTTATTGATATTTAGAAGAAAGACTGCATATATTTTGAAGGTGATAATAATGTGTTCAATAAAATAATTATGAGCCTTAAAATATCAGGGTAATTTGGAAGCTTATTATGCTTTGGTCCCCAGAGATGACCTGTATTGATATATAGTTTGTGTACTATATTGATTTTATGAAATCTACAGACTTTAGTTTTGATTTTATTAAATCTAAGGGCTTTAGGATAAATTTAGACCAATTGCCTTAATTTATCCATGAATCTGAGGATCATGGTCATTATCTCCAACAGTTAGTGACAAATGGTGAGAGTTGAAACTAGGACTCAGACTCGATCTCTTTCCTCTACACCTCAGGTCTTCTCCCCTTGCCTAATAGCAGCTGTGGAAACTGGCAGGAATGAAGCTTTTCCAAACAAGAAAAAAAGAGGGCTATGAGAAGCTTAGTAACCTGGCAGACAGTAGACAATTATTAAGCACCTAAAAGATGTTCTTTGGTCCTGGCCAGTTTGGCTCAGCAGTTACAGCATTGGCTGTGGACCAAAGCGTCCAGGTTCATTTCCTAGTCAAAGGCACATACCTGGGTTGCATGTTCCATCCCTAGCCTGGTCAGTGTCATGCAGGAGGCAACCAATCTGTGTGTCTCATATCAACATTTCTCCCTCTCTCTCTCTCCCTCCGTCCCTTCCTTCCACTCTATCTAAAAATCAGTGGAAAAATATCCTCAGGTTATTAACAATATATTTAAAATATATGTTAAATATTTAAAATATCCTCAGGATATTACTAACAACAACAAAAGATTTTCTTAATAGAAATACAAAACCAAACCTATCTTCCTTCATGATGGTACACATCCAGAATAGCAAGAATATGGAGCCATACTGTGTTGGATTCCAACTTTCCTCCCTACCTGTTCTGTGATCTTGGGCAAATTACTGAACTTCCTGTTCCTCCTTTTTTTGGGGTAGAATAATAACACCTACCTCACTGTGTTACCAGGATGAAATGAATACATATGTAAAGCTCTTAGGAAGTACCTGACACGTAGTAAAACTTGCCCTTACTACTGAGCATGGTTTTATGCATTTTGCTGGACATCAATAAGGCACCCCTCCAGAACTTTATTAAGTAGATTTTGGCTGGATACAGAAAAAGGCATCAGGCAGAATATAGATAAGACTCACCATGGAGATATAGTAAGTGCCAGGAAGCAAAGTAATGGAGCAAAGGGAAGGTGTCCAGAGCCACGTTTTAAGAAAGTATGGCTTGGCCCTGGCCGGTTTGGCTCAGCGGTTAGAGCGTTGGCCTGCCATCTGGAGAGACCCGGGTTCGGTTCCCGCTAAGGGCATGTACCTTGTTTACAGTTTGTCCCCGGCCCTGGTTGGGTTGTGCGGTTGGCAACCACTCGATGTGTCCCTTTCACGTCCCCTTTCACGTTGATGTTTCTCTCTCTCTCTCTTCCTCCCACTCTATTTGAACAAAATATTGAAAAATGTCCTCAGGTGAGGATTAAAAAAAAAAAAAGTATGGCTTGTAAGTTGCTTAAGAAGAGAGGAGGAAACAATTCAGGTGGTAGGTATGGTGTGCACAAAGGAATGGGAGCAAGAATGAACACGATGTGGTTAGCAGTGCATGGAATTGCGTGGTTGGGTGTTAATAATGAGTTAGGTAGTCAGAGGTGGTGGAAAACCTTGGAAACTTGTCCAAGGCCTCAAGGATTTTCCAAGCGCTTGACATGCCCTCTGGATCCAACCTTTCCTTTTAGGCCTGGAAGGCCTGCAGGAATGGTGCTTTAGAATAAATTGTGGGGTGGGGGCAGAACTATGCCAAAGATCTCGCACTTAGCACTAAATAAACGTTAGCTTTTTTTCTCTTAAGACTGAAAGATTACTTTAACCAAGGAGAGGAATTAAATGAACCTAGATGTTTAACCCGTGTACAGATAAACATCGTCGGTTAGCAATCTGAAACCTTTTGCTTAAAGCGTTTGTGCTCGGAACTTTCATTACTCATCCACCTCCCCAGGCCACAGCAACCAACGTGCAAAGCTGCGAGAAAAGGCAAGTGGTAAAGGGCGCTCCACGCATGCGTTAGAAGCCGCCCCAACTCCTACGCGCGTTCTTTCTTTTAACAAAACTAGCGCCGAGCCACGGAGCTCCGCCGTTTGCGTAGACTCGAATGTCCTATTGCTCTGACTGTCCGAGGGGAATCCGCGAGCGTTGCGGTCCTCCTACGCAAGTTGCGTTATCCGAAGTGAATGGCCGGGTGATGCGTGTACGCCCCGAACGCAGCACCCATTAGGCGGACGGGGTGCGGCTGCGCAGGGACCTGAGTGGGCTTGGTACGCCGGTAGCGTAGTGTGGCGTCTGACGCGCGGGCCTCCGCGACGCAGTTAGCGCAGTCAGCTTTGGTGAATACACGATTTGGTGCAGCCGGGGTTTGGTACCGAGCGGAGAGGAGATGCACACGGCACTCGAGTGTGAGGTAACTATAAAACCCCGATTTGTTTACATTCCCTCCCCCAGAACCGGCCCCAAGCGCGGCGGAGACTGCGAGTCCCGGGACAGCGGGGGTGTAGAAAGGGAGCCGAGGACCTGGGAGCCGGGGCTGGGGGACCCTCGGGGAGCCGGGCGCTGGAGTTCCCGCAGCTGCTGCAGTCGGCGGCGAGCCGGAGCAGAGCGCGTGGGGCAGCGCGTGGGGAGCCGCGGCTCCTCGTGTGCGCTCTCGGCTGCCCGGGTTGGCGGGTTGGCGGCCGGGCAGCGTCTGCCCCGCGTGCGGGACCGGCGCCCGCCTCGCCTGCTGTGGGGGCTGGGACGGCGCGGGGAGCGAGACGGTGACCGCTGGGCGGGCGGCGGCGGTTAGGGGGCTGCGTGCGGGCTGCCTGGGGGCCGGGGTGGGGGGACCCACAGCCGGGGCTCGGAGGGGCGTGGGGTGGTGTCGAACGCCCCCGAGTCTTCCTCCGCTGTCCTCCCCTCTGGTCTGTCGGGGGCTCGGGCGGGGGCCCGGGGGAGCCTGGGCGCCGCAGTCCCGGCACCGGGAGGCTAACGGACCGCCGGTACCCGGGCTCCGACCGCGGGAGGCCTCGTGGGGGCTTGTGTGCTCCCCGGCCAACCGACTAGCCGAGGCGGGGCGCAGGGGAGTTCGCATCTGGGCCCGCGGGGTCCCTGGAGGGGGGCTCGGCGGGGCTGGGTGGGTGGGCGAGGCCGGGTGGGCAGGGAGGTGGCGCCGCAGCCCGGGCTTTGTTCCTGAAAGCCCTTCTGCCTGCGGTGCCGAGGGGCCCAGCGGGCCGAACTGAACCGAACCGAACCGAGGGGAGCCTGCGCGGCCGCCCTGCCCAGGTCGAGGGGTCTGCTCAGCTCCCAGTGTTCCTCCTGGGGGACCCGCGAGTACCCCAGCGAAGAAGGGGGCCTTGGAGGGCGCGGATGACGTGACGTTGAGTGTCTTCCTGTGCTTCAGTGAAGCTGCTCACGTGGGAACCCACATGGGCTGTCCTTAGATCTGGGCGCAGGAGGAAGTAGCACCCAGGATCCGGCCCTCATGTGGAAGGGTCGTTCACTCAAGTCCCTGTTTTAAGTAATAAAGAGTGACATTAAAGCACACAATTAAAAAAAAAATTGGTAATGGCCCTGGCCGGTTTGGCTCAGCGGTTAGAGCGTGGGCCTGCGGTCCAGAGAGACCCGGTTCGGTTCCCGCTAAGGGCACGTACCTCGGTTGCAGTTTGTCCCCGGCCCTGGTTGGTCGTGCGGGTGGCGACCACTCAATGTGACCCTTTCACGTCGATGTTTCTCTCTCTCTCCCTTCCTCTCTCTCCCTCCCACTCTATCTGAACAAAAAAAAATGGAAAAATGTCCTCGGGTGAGGATAGGGAAAAAAAAGGTAATGTAGTTATGCTGTCTTTTAACTTTCATTCAGTGCCTTTCACTATTCTGGTTTTACCTTGGAACTGACTCATTCTTGAAGGACCTACACTAGCATGTGACAGGTTTAAATTTAATTTATGTGTGTGTTTGGGTACTTAACCTAAATTATCCATAAGAACAAACAAGTACGATGTTGGAAAAGCTGGAGAATTTAGAACGTAATTAATTTTGGTAAGACCATTGAAAGCCTTAAGTCAGGACTCCTGTACTGTTTTATATTGTTAGGACTTCCTGTTCTACAAAATTTGAATGTAACTTTATCAGTCGTTCAAGAGATTAGTCAAAGAATTTATGTGCATACACACATGACCCATGGACACAGACAATAGTGTGGTGAAGGGGGTAGGGCAGAGCACGTTGGAGGGGGTGAATGGGGGGAAAAGAGGGACATCTGTAATACATTAAAACAGTAAATATAAATTTCAAAATAGAAGATCTTGGGAGATCCATACCAGACAGTTCACATCTCTGCCCTCACTGAATATTCTGGTAGGAAGAGAGAAAAAGTAACAGTGATATGAAGAAAAAAATGAGACGATGTACTGGAAGGACTTTTTGGGGTGATGAACCTCAGAATGATTTTAAATGTACAAAATGCATAGGATTACAACAAAAAACAATTATATTGAAATATAATTATGAAAATATTAAATATGAAGTAATCTACATTTCAGTAAAGCATTAACAAAGTAGTGGCAGGTCTAATGACTAATTTCAAACTATTAAGGACTGTAAATGATCTTTAAAGGATTTAATTTGATTTCTAGTGATATGTGTTAGGTACTGTATGTTACTGTAGTTTTTGCTTGCATTCATAAGTGAAGGAATAACTAAATTTCAGAGATTAATAGTAATGTGTTTTTCTTCCCTATCAAACTTAAACCTGAATTCAATACATAGACCCCTGGTTAAGAACCCCTGTACAGGAATGACTTTGGTGCTACTTTAAATGAAGTGATTAGGAAGCCCTCTCTTAAGAGGTGACATCAATAATATATTACATGATAACATATATTTGTTCTTCTTATTAACAAGTTATATTAATTCCACTAACAGTTTAAAACTAAATATAGTTCTTCCCCTTTTTTGAGCACCCAATTTGAAGCATTTTAGGAGGCCTCAAATTTAGTATGCAAGTACTACTACTCTAGGCTGTAGGGGATAGTATTTTTTGTTTTTACTGTTTAAATTTATTTCTGGGCAAAATATAGGCCATAGGTATCATAGCAAGGGAAGTTATTCAGTGGGAATGATCATTTGCTGTTAAAGAGAATTTACCTTGTTATTCTATTCTTCCTCTTCTCATCTACCCCCATTATTGGCAAGAATTTACAGTTTTGGAGTAAGACAAGGTTCAAAACCCTGACCCATTATTAACTAGTTTGGTTACTTTATTTTAATCTTTTTATCTGTGAACTTGAAGTACTAAAAATCCTGCCTCATGGGTTTACCGTGACTATTAAATGACATAAGGAACCAAAGGGCTACAGATTCTTACTTCGTTTTACCTTTTTAAAAAATACACAAACATTTCACTTTTTTAAGTGGTTGAAGGACTACTCCCCCCCCCCCCCCAAGTACTTGATTACCCCCAGAATGAGGTTTAATGCTCTCTGCTGGGCCTTTGCAGTAATAGTTATCCTACTGTTACTGTTCTCTTATATGTAATAACCCTTGGAATTTTTTCTGCTTCTCTTGCATTTTATAACTTATAATTACATACATCTTGTTTTCCCTGCCAGACTAAACTTGAGGGGCACTTGCTCCACAGCTTTTTTGTCACAAAATGTTTTATATCAAAAGGAGATTATCACTAGTACGTTTTTAAACTGATAATTACAAGATGCAAAACAGTTCACAGTAGAAAAAGGAAAAGAAGTGTAGGCAATAAAAACAAAACTAGTGTTTTCCCTTTATAACAAGTTTTATAAACCTATAAAGCCATCTTTCATTAAATAGTAACATTCTCATTGAAAACTTAAGCTTAAAGTTTGCAAGTTAGAAGAGTGCACAGTGTGTCCCAACAGCTTGCTGCTGCCCCCTAGTGTTTCATTCCCCTTGAAGTTTTCTTGAGTTTCACCTTCCCTTCCTTCACATTTCCCTAAAACAAGATCTATTTATATTATGAATAGATTCCTTAGCACTATATGTCTAGTTGACTTGGCATTTTCTCCAACTGCTGGTTAGTGTTTCTAATAAGATAGACATAGTCATTTTGAATTGGTTAATTTTGGTTGCTTTTAGCCCCCAGTTTTCCAAATAGGGGTTGAGTTTTGTGTGGAGATAAAACAGTATAATACCAAATTTCCTTGCAAGAGTATACAGGAGATTTTTCAAAGCTAGAAGAGGCATATATGTTAATGATGTATCTATGAAATTAGCTTTATATAGGAATGACAGCAAGTTTATTAATTTACTCTGGGCGTTGTCTTGAAAAGAGTGATAAAAACTTGCTTTCTGGCCCCGGCCAGTGGTGCATCATAATAGGCACCAAAAGGTGATGGGCCAGGGCACTTTACCTAGGTTTCAGGTTTGATCCCAGGTTGGGGTGGAGGCAACCAGTTGATGTTTCTCACATTGGTGCTTCTCTCTCAATCAGTCAATCAATCAAAACATATCCTCAGGTGAGGATTAAGAAAAATCTGCTTTCTTTGATCAGTTTAGTTCCATATACCTTTGTATCGCCTTGGCTGTACTGAAAATAAAATTGAAAATGCTAAAAACATGTGGATGGTGAGTTGTTTTCTTTAAGTTCAATTTTATTTTGAGCTATGACTTCTATAGAGTGCTCTTTGAAAAAGTGTCTCTAGGACCTTTAATAACCACAAGATTTCCTGTAGTCATTTATATAAAGTTATCAATATTCCAAACTACTTTTTCATTTTATTATTTTCTATTCATAAGTTCTGTGAGCAGGCCACACAATGACTTCAGGTTTTTCCAAAATAAGCAAAGATATGCTCAAAAATTTACCACAATCAGAATATTCAAAAGTGTGTTCAGTAGATATGAGGCAATTTATAACTAAAATTATATTAACGTTTTAAGTAGCAATAGCATTCAAATAATTTCCAGCTGCTTAAGAGACTACACTTAATGTTCAGACATTAAAACACCACAACACAATTTATTATATAGTGTCAAGTACATTTTTCTGTTCTCATTAGGTTTTTTTTTAAATTTGGTTGACAGATACAAGGATTGGGTATTTTAATAGATTTTTCATGCTAAAAGATGTTATTAGAATGGGATAGTGGTGGTGTTTATAGGTGTAAGTATAAAGGTAACATCT